ACAGCAGATTGCTCAGGATCCTACTGATGACAGGAGCCTTAGTTCACAGATGTTCAGGAGACTGCAAGAGTATAAAACCTTAATCTTAAAAAAGGGAACTTTCCATGCCACCACTGAAAAAATAATCACCAGGGGTGGGGGTTTTATTTTCTTGTGGTTTTTTTTTTAAAGGTAAGTTAAGCAGCTGGTCCTACAAAGATGATGATGAAGCACATAAATTATAGAAATCTTTTTCTGTGTACGTACGTATAATTAGAGTGTGGTGACAGCAGAGGTGCATATATTTTCTTCCATGTGCTTCAGAATTGTGTGCTGAAGGCAATAAGGTATGACCAAGAAATTAAGTTCAAACACCAAGCTATATATTAGGCCAACAGTAATGGGCCAGGCACATGAGGTGAGGTTTGAAAAGTGCAACAAAGGCAGAAACTGAAATTTGATATGCTAGCAAAAATTAAGATTATCCAAACTGTTTATTCCCACTATATTAAAAATCATCTAAAAAGTAGCAAATGAAAACCAGAAGTAAAGTAACAGACTTTTCTGGCACTATTATATCAAACTTCAAAATTTAAAGAAATTGCCTGCATCTCAAAGATGAATGCATAAACAAAAACTCCTCATGTGGGGGATGTGAGCTTAAAGGACAACAGAGGAGTTTTCAGAATTTTGTGATCATAGTTCCTGGGTAACAGTTTCTTCATGGAAGGAACTGATTGATACTTGGACAAAAGAAAATATTATTCATTCCAAAATGCTTCTTGAAATTTTCCAGATCCAGCTTAGACTGAGACCAGACTTGTAACAACTTGCACCATCAGCAGCTGTGTTACTCTGGTGACTAACATATCTGCATGCATAGAACCAGGAACTGATTCTAACTAAGCAGCAGAGGGCAGGGACAGCTGGATGAGCTGTCACACAATAACAATATAAAAACAAAATTAATATAATAAAGGGGAATATGCCTACAAAGAGCAGGTCGAAAAGAGAGCTGCAAGCAGATTGCATATGGAAAAAATGCTCATGGCCTATGATCACAGCAGGCTGCAGATTCTTGCATTTTGCTACTCTTACAGAGATACTCCCTTACAGAGAATGTCAAAGCCTTGTATTTCAAAATAATTTATGCCAACAATACCAATTGGATACAACCTTACAGTGTCTTACAGTGTTTCTTCACAGCAGCTGTGTCTCACTCATATGCTTTTGAATTGCATTTCAGGTGGGTTTTTTTAAACATTTGTTGAAACCATGACGAGCTGCCAGAAATCACAAACAGACAGTCTCGGAACAGTTACATGAGCATACTGTGAGCAGCCCTGTTCCAGTGCACCCTCAGTATCAAAAATTTAAGAACAATTAAGACTGCTGATGCTAGCCATTTAATGTTGCAAAGTTTACCACAGAGCACAGAGCAGAAAGCTTTCTGCTGTGGTGGCTGTATGTTGCCCAGCTGAGCATCTGCAACGCCACACAGCCAGCATATTTGGCACTCACACTGTCCAAGCTTTCCCAATGCCTTTCTCTTATAAACACTTGTCATCACCAAGTCAGAAGGCTCAGTCAGGACAGTTTTGTTGCCACTGGCTGGGGCAATAGAACATACTAGTTTCGCTTCTATTCTAATAAACATTAAAGGGGATTTGGCAAAATCAACAATGTACTTTACCAATGAAGGGTTCCAAAGAGGATTTGTAAAGACAAATGGGGAAGCAGCATTCCAAAAAGATGTGAATGATAATCTGGAAGCAGCTGGTCCATAGCAAAGAAATCATCAGGGTGAAAAAAGTAAATGCTGTTGAGCTGCAGTGAACTAGGAAGGAGAACCACAAAGTACACCAGCAAGGTCTGTACACTGAAAATGTGTGTTTAACCTTGTGCCAAACAGGCAAAGGTCTCCAGATGCAGGAAACTAACTCCAGTGCTGAATTAAAACAGCAAGAAAACAACTATAAAATGAACATAAGCAGCAGTCTATTTTGATCTAGGACAAAAATCAGTATACATTAGTAAAATATTAAAATTCATTATTAATAGGTCTATGTTGCAGATCTAAAATTAAACAAATGCATGCCTCCCACAGATAATCAAAGACCATGTTTTACTAAAACATGCAATAGCGTAGTTAGTGATATATTTTCTGTTGTTATTGCATCCTAGACCAAATTAGAAACAAAGAACCTCACTAATTAATGTTTATTTTTTTTCCCCTTAGATGTCATCTCTTTCTTCTACTTTACTTGAAGTGCACTATCACTACCTAAGAAAAGAGCATTAAAACTTTCTGCAAGAACAGGGTAATAGGGAAGAAAATACATAAAGTTTATCAGACACATATGATGTTCCTTTCATGTACTGGTTAACTTAAAACAAGAATAAAAAATACCTAAATTACTAAAAAAAAAAAAATAATAAAAAAAGAAAAACAAAACAACCTCCCTTTTTTTCTCTCAGCATCTCTGTCATCAAAAATTTGGCAGTAGTGCACATCCAAAGCTTTTATCAAACGAAGCCACTCATCTTTACATTGTTCCATCTGTTTTATTGTAAAATATTAGACATTTACGTATTTACTGTGTATGTATTTCTTTTAAAATGTGTAAGTCTTATGTAAATGGATATAAATATGATTTTTTAAAAAATAAAATCTATGGTACATGGGGTCTCAGTGCAAACATTTGACAACACAGTGTCAATAATACTGTTTGTATCTTTCCATTCCACCATTTTTACAGTTTTTGGATTGTAACAGTCAAATGAATATGTTTAGCAGAGTTAGAAGCTTCAACATGTTCCTACTGAGAAAAATCTGTCAATATTAAAAGCTGAACACCTGCCTCTGATGATGTATAATAGAATACATAACCTGGAACTGGAGCCAAAATGGACCTTTAAAGACAAAATGGAAATGTCAGATATCTATAGAGAAGCATCATCATGGCTCACCTCTTAAAAACAAATAAATAAACCCAGGAGAACTGTTTATAAAAAAAAAGGCAATTTAATAAAACATGATTTATACAAAAAACCAAAAACTTTCTTCTATGTTACCTGTGGACCAAGAAGAATCTTGCTTTACCAAGAGCCACCTTTTTGTTCCAGGATCTTGAAACACCAGCCAGCATTGGAAAAGTAAATCTAATATTTGCATAGAATCAGATTCTCGTTTCCAGTTCTATTCAACAAAGAAAAAGAAAGACAAGAGAAGCCAAACCCCACCATTTCTTCATTCTAACAGGGCATTAGGCTCCTGTCTAATGTTACGCTTTTAGCCAAGATGGCCTTGCTGAGACTTCACAGAAGTCAGTTTTATCAGAGGAAATAACTGAAAGACAGAGTGATTAATATATAATGTATAAAAGTTTAGAAGAGCAACTATTACCTGCTGTGGCTTTATTTGGTGGTGTTATTGTTGTTTATTCTTTGTTTAAATGGGAAGTTTCAAAGTAAGACCTACTTAATAGTCATTTACCTATTTGCTATTTTTCTGCTGCTTGATCTTAGCTCAAGACCTGTCTTTTAGTTATTTCTTTAAGCAGTTTGATCTGCAATGTTTGCACGTACATAAACATTTGTTTTGTCTATTTTCATTTGGCAAACTTCAGTCAATCAGATGGTGAAAAATTTTTCTCCCCCAATGTCAATAAAAAAAGAATTCAGTGCTATTTGTGTTTATAAGTCTATTAAGCTTGGTATATAGGAGCATTAAATTTGGAAACCAGATGCTTCTCATGCATAAACACATTTTGACACTAACAGGTATGAGTCACGACGGAGTTACTGGTCAGAATCCGCCACGAGAGGGAGCAGTGAACTTGCTGATGGGTGTGATATAATGGCAGGGTTATAACTATATAAAGCCAAGGCTCCTGTAAATACAGTTCCTCGGGTTTGACCGACATCGTTGCTGATGTTCTTTCTCCCCCTCCTCCCTCAGCCTCCTTCTGGATTATTTTAGTGTAGAATATCACAAAGTAAAATAATGCAAACACCATTAGCAGTGGTTGCAGTATCATATGAATACACGTTTCCTTGTAAACACCCGCTCACATTTTACAGAATTTCTTTTGCAGCCCACATTGTCATAGCCCACACTAAAATTTAGGGGATGGGGTTAAATGAGATGTGTTGGGGAAAAGAATGAGCCAGATCTTGTGACCAAAGCTGAAGTTATTTTGCCCCAGAAATACAGCACCGTTAGCAAAGCACCCTGCTGATTCTTAGAGCCATTAGCATTTACAGTCCAGTCTCTCACAACATGTTTTACCCTCTGTTCAGATTGAGATTTTCAACTAAATTGAATAACTGAGCGGGGGCGGCAGGGTTGAGGTGGGCTACCTTATACAATGACTTGGCAAAAAACAAGTACAGCACAGACTCAAACGAGGCTGTTCTATTATATGACTGTATGACCTGTTTCAACATGACTGGCTGTGCTGTATGCAGTCCCAAGTGAAAAAACACAGGAACATTTTATATAGTTCTTATGCAACTAGTAGAGCTCACCAACTCTACAAAAGATCACAGGCACAAGGCACCATCAGGGTATGGCTCACAGTAAGTAGCACCTATCTATCACCTTTTATGTCCTACATCAATCTGTTGGTTTATTTCATCACTTTACAGCGATATCATCCTTAACTCTATCCACCAGCACACAACAGTATTTCTGGACTCTTTTGAGGACCTCTCTTATATACCAACATCATCTGAATTTATGTATGGCTTATTGTTTCTGTATATGTATACTTTTTAAAGCATTTTTACCTTTATTGTTCAATTAAAAACCTGCAGCTTAAGAAGTATGTAGAGAGTGTATCCTCCATCCCCTGGCTTGTTAAGAACCTTGTAACTATTCTGAAATGGCCTATAAATTCCAGGATAAGCTGCTTAGTATCTGTATTTGCTAAATTTCTTGGTTATATATACCTCGGCAAAAGCACATTCTGGTTATCCTTATCATACGGTATTTTTTTAACAAGAAAATTATCAGAAAATGCAAAGAGTAAATGCCTGCCTTTATTTAAAATCGTGTGTATTATTGAGCAGACAAATGAGGATTTTCACATATTTGAAAGCCAGAAATTATTTATCATTCTACAAAAAAGACATTTCAGAAACTTATTGAGTAAAAAAATTATAGGAATCTAATTTATAGCAGAAAGTCTTAGGAAAAAAAAGAAATCAGTGGAATCAAGAAAATTAATTTTAAAATTTTTAATTTTAGAAAAATTTAAAAGATGTAAAGGCTTCAAATTTACAAGTGAGAACAATTTATGTCTTCAACAATTTTCACAATTAAATTCCTGTTTATTGCTGTCCTCATGACTTACTTTTTGTAAACTGTTGTATTCAAACTCAAGTTACTGGTCACATTATACAAAAACAGATTGAAATGAAAGGTTACATGACATCATACAGATAATCTCATCACTCCTCCCCTTTAAGACTATAGAAATGTATGAATTCTATGTGCAATTCTTAGCCATCTTAATAACCAGCATATATTCACAACATGCAGAGACTTTACTATGTGTCATTGGCTGTGACAAGATGGTAAAGAACACAGTAATGTTTCTGCAGTAAAAACATTTTGTTCCAAATCATGACTAGTTTTTAAAATGTGATAATCTTAACAGACAGAAAGTCTCTTTGTACTTCTGTAATTAAAATGTTTGTTATTGATGTATTATCCAATTTAATTTTTCTTTAGCAGTTCTTCAATATGTTTAAACACGCTAGCATCTTCAATGGTTGGTGTTATCTGAAAAGGAAGAATATATAGAAGCATGTGAGAGTAGACAGAATTTCATTCAGAGATTCTTCAAATCTAGCCTTCAAAAGCAATCAACAAAAAAGTACCTGGAAAGCTCTGGAGCATAAAAACCTTTTGGGTAAGTCACAGTAGAAATAAAATATAACATACTACCTAAAGTCATGGACCAGTTACAGAACAGTCAAGAGAATTAAAACCATAACATTGTGCCTTCAGGTGTGCACGTGCGCCTAATTCATGAAAGCACACATCTCCAACTTGCCTTGTATGGCTTTCCACTGACAAGTGCAGAAAGAGCCGAACGTGGTATCTTGCCAGAGCGTGTTTTTGGTAGCTGTTTCACAAACATCCCCTTCTGGAAAGCTGCTACAGGGCCAATGTTAGTTCGAACTCGCTCAACAATCTCATTCAAAATCGTATTCTTTTCTGTCTTTATACCTGGTGAAGAAAGTCATATCCTTTACCTTTTCTGAGACTTTTGCAAGTCTTAGTGACATCAGTATCAGTGAGCTCTCACCTTGTCTCAGTACACACAGCGCAAATGGAACATGTCCTTTTAAAGGATCCTCCTGGCCCACAACAGCACAGTCCGCCACAGCGGGATGGAAGAGAATACACTGAGGGACAGAAAACAGAAGTAAAGAGAACTAATAATATAATAGATGGACATTCAGTGAAAAAATTCCACAGTCATGGATATTTAACATAGTTACTTCTTACATTTTGACAGCAAAAGGTATTTAGTCAGTACACCTGAGGATTTCAATTACATGTGTTGCAGATGTACATGAGTATACTTTCATACACACAGTTACATGTATTTCTCAAACAAACACAAGAAGTAAGAACTACGGAAGCACAAGACAGAAATCTAGAACAAACCAAAGGTAATTTCTTTGGGAGAGTATCACATCTTTGTTTTTTTAGTGAGATCTTTGCTGGAACAAATAACAGTAGTCTAACATTACAATTAACATGGAGTTAAATGAGTGGATTAAGGACCAAAACTACAGAAGCACTCCTACTACTGAGCTATAAAGTCATATTGGTTTATTCTAACTCTTATCTTTTTTATTCTTTGCTGCTGTAAAGGCATAGTTTCAACCAAGGCAAAATACAGGCCTAGTCTCAGCTTGCAGCCAGCCTAGCTCAGCTCACTCTCTTGGAACCATTAGGTCTCAGCCTCCTGAGACATAAAAAGCAATTAAACCAGAGCCCCCCTCCTTCCCAACACGTTACACAATAACACATTGACAAAAATACTCCAAATTTTCATTTAGTTAAAAAAAGTAAGACATTCTCTCTTCCTTCCAATTAGCTAGCTGAGGTTCTCACTTCCTGGAAAACAGTCACCAAGATGTCTCAGTACGTACCAAGACTGTGTCACTGAGTCTGGGACAAAGCTGGGCTTAAGATGCCAGGAACTGTGAATCCTCTTCCAAAGTAACTGGCTAATTTCATGTAGCTATCAGTATGCCTTGGGGCATCTTGCTGTCAACAGTGCTTTGAGCACTTTTCAGTCCTCTGGACCGAACTACAGAGAACCTAAACATTACCCTACACAGAGGCCACATCATGTGACTGTGCATACAAGGGCTATGTTCTTGCTAATAACTGAACTTCACATACTGTGTTGCCAAAATCTAAGGCAATGGGATGACTAACTAAATTTTAAGTAAAAAGGCCTTTTTTGGTTGTTTTTATTAAGTAGGAATCATTTCTACTGGCTACTCATACAATGGTATGCGAATGAGGAAGACAGGAAAAGTACAAAGAAGACAGAGAAAAAACCTGAAGAAATGGAAAGCTGAATCACTGTTGTTCCAATTAACAAAAGGAAAGCTGTTGTTGACCTGTTTGTGAAACCAATGGGGAAGGAACAATTCAAAGGGTTTCCTATAACCCATCCTCGAAACAGATTTCACCATCCTTGGGCATTACAGTCAGAAAGGAGAAACTGGCTCTATGTGTCATGGTCACTACACCAAGATACACTACAACATACACCAAGATCAAACTGTTTCTAGCACACTTTGTTTGTCAGTCACTTCATGAACTATGATCCTAGAAGTAACCCATTCTAGAAAAAGGGTAAATGGAAAACACTGACCTTAATAGTAGATGCATGGTCTATCAAAGTAGAAAAGCATGAACATTTATGCACAGCTTTTGAAACTATATATTTTTTCACAGGAATTAAATAGGATGTGCACAAGTTACATATAAAACAGAGGTCTGGGCTTACCCCAGAATTAGAAGGGCAGAGGAGCCTGCTAGATAAAAACCTGAAGCTAAATATATACCTATACATTTGAATTCAGGTATAGCTTAATTTTACAGAAGTCATTGTAACCACACTGACAAATCATACAGGAATGAATTCTTACGCAACTCCAAATCTCTGTGGTATTTCAATGCATCACATACACTTAATGCACTTTGGTCACTTCTAGGCCAAGCCTCAATAATGCATTTTTCTCCTGTTCTGACCTCTTGACCCTGGCCACATAAACTTGAGAGACATATATAACAACAACAACAACAAAAGGAAAGGAAAAAAAAAGGAAAGGAAAGAAAAGAAAAACCCAATGAATTATGGAAAAGTAGACAGTAAGGTCTAAAACTACAGTACTGTTTTCCATAATAACATAGGAAAAAGGTCTGCAGTAACCTCACATTACCATTAAATACCATAATTACCTGCCAGGCATCAACAGGACCCCTAAGGTAGAGATTTAAGTATTGCCAGCTTGTTTTGGCCATTCCAGACTGTCACTTATTCATAAGAATCTGACGGTTAGCTGGAATATTGCAGTTACTGTAGTATTTTTCTTCAGTCTATCCAAAATGCTATCAACTTTTCAAATGCTAACTTCAAATGATTGAAATTAGTAATTAGGAAATACTAAAAAAATTAGTAAGTACTAATTTGAAAATTATCAAACTTTGTAAAACAACTGAAAATAACAGAATTAGCACTAGACATTTAAAAATTGTTTAAAAGTAATAAAAAACTTGAAGTGAAATGGCTTTCCTGGAATGATCACTGGGCACAAGGATGGATGCAAAGGAAAGGATTTCTCATGCTAAATTCCTCAATTTAAAGTCTGTTGCCTCAGACAGTCAAGATTCAATTTAGGTGTTTTTCAGAAACGGGCAGGGAGGGACACCATAGATTTACAGACAAGAGTCAGATAGACCAAGACAAGCTGAGGCTACCATAATAGCTACCCTTCACTGACTGGCAAAGTAAACACAACACCTACTGCATTGCGCAAACATGGAGCTCCAGTGGTATTAATAGATACCTTAGAAAAAGAAACTAATTGTTTAGAACATAATAAAGCTGAAATACTTAGTCAAAGCATTAGCAAAAAACTTGTTATGCTTGTAATGCAGCTATAATGTAAATGCAGATAATATACTTGCTCGACAAGGTTACTGTCACTTAATTAGATGGCGATTCAATGAACCTCTAACTCTGTATTTACTGATCTTACTGAGAAGCTAATTGTGGTATTCTTAATGCTTTCCCATTTAACTATGCTGTGCATACATTAACACCACTCTTGGTTTCTAGCTTTGTTCAAAAGGTGAATAGAAAAGCTTCTAGAATGTCAGAGTGATGAAACATTTTTATGTCTCTAGGGGAAAGGCCTAACTAGCAGACAGACAGACACTGAGCTCGGTATGATGGATACAAAGGTAATACAACAGAGGACGTGATTCAATTCATCATTTGTTATAGTAGTTTCAGATTAAGGCTTTAGCAAAGAAACAATGTCCAGCTCAGACTCTGAGGGACTGAGAATCCCTGCTGCACTTTAGCAGGGCAATACAAAAACCTGACTTCTAAGGGAAAGAGGGTTAAGCAGACTAAAAGCCACCTTTATGCGAGTCAGGGCAGCAGCTCATTCAGCTCCCTCGCTGACCAGTTCTCAATGGATTGACTATATTTATCTGAATTTGTTCACTTCTGTGTAATCAGAATTTCTTCTATTCTAAGTTTCCTAGCCTTTAAAAAACATAGTGGCTAGCCTAACAGACATTACAAACAGAAAAATTACTAGTTTTTGATTCAGTGAACAGTTAAATTCACAGTTCTTATAAGTGTATTTTTATTTTGTACATGCCCAGCACACCTTTTCCTATACTCCCTGAATAAGCAATTGATATGTCATCAAGGAAATTTGTAACTGGCAATCAATCACAGCAGTTCCAGAGAGGTGAGTGAACAATGATATGAAATTCAGACACTATTATGAACTGCACTATTTTCAATTTTTTTGAGTTGCATAGGTATGACATTAATGACTTTCAACTTAACAGCAGGTTTTTTTACAGACATTTTCATTGTTCATTTAGCACTGCTCATACAGTAAGAGACAAAACAGCTGTCAAGAAAATGGGAAGGAAAGTCTTCAAATCAAGAAATGCGAGTCTATGTGAAAAGAATTCAGCCAACACTGAGCACTGTATTTTAGGAATAAAAGTTTCTACTCCTCAGTTACTACAGTATTTGGTGAAACTACTTGGCACACTGACTCTACATTATCTTAACATATTCCCAAACAAATACGTTATCAGAGCTAACAGCTATGCTTCCCATACGTCTGTCTCATCAATCCCATGGTACAAACTGCTTATTACTGACTAAATTTATTATGTTCTGGAAAGCACCTTAATAGGAAAAACCTGAAATAGGAAATGTTGTGGTTAAAAGTACCAGTGGAAATGCAAACAAAAAGAGCAGAAAGAAAATGAGAGATTTTGTGAGATTTTCAGTCTCAGCTTGTTCTATTCAACTTTCACTCTTCTATTTTCTTGTCAAGCAATGCTAACCTCTTCAATCGCACCTGCTGAAATTCTGTGTCCAGCAACATTGATCACATCATCAGCTCGAGACAGGACATATAAATAGCCATCTTCATCCATATAGCCAGCATCCATAGTATCATAATATCCCTAAACATGACACAATAAAAAATAAATTCAAAAAGAGTACTAGGAATACCCATGAATTTACCATGAAATCGACAACAACAACAACAATCACCCCTTTTCCACATTAAATATGCTTTTGGTGCTTGAAAGATTTAATTCTGTAATATTTTTCACTATTTTTCTGTCATAATATGCCGTGCAGCTCCTTTCCATAAGAGTTTTGTAGACTTTGTTAATACAGAACAGAAGACAATAGATAAACCTGGATTTCTTTCCAACTCTGCTTACTTTGATTCCTGACAGCTTGGAGAAGGATGTTGCCTGGATCCACACAAGGAGAATGGAACTGTTACAATATAATAACCAGTTGTCAATTGTCCTAAAGATATTCCTGTTTGCTGTATCCAAACATACATCATCATCGTGAAGCAACTGCACACAGGAAATAATTTGCCTGACTAATTCACTCATTTACTTTTATTGATCTAAACCTTCCATTCTGAACATTTGTATAGGACCAATCTAGTTATTTCTACAAGGAAAGGAGGAAGCCAATCCTTGGATAGTTCATCTGACAAGGAAACATAACTAATAAAGTAAGGAGCCTCCAATATATTTAGGTGCACAGTGGACAAGTGTGTATTTTGGACTGATACCAAGCTAGCATGACTGCATGTCAACAGGATTAGTATATTTGAAGCTATGCTAGACGAAGGTCACAGGCTTATATGTTTTATTAGATCAAATGACATAAAATGACTTTTTGGCTCAGAAGCTTGAGGTTTACTTCTTCTGTTTCAGATCTTAAAAAACCCACAGTATGTCTAAGGGCTTAAATTACAGATGAAAAAAGTTTTACCTTGAAATGCTTTTAATTGTATGCACATATATCAAAGAAATTAAATTAAGATATGAAAATTTATGATAAACTGTTATCCAGGTTAAATCTGTTATCATTCAGTTCTGCAGAATTACTAAAAATGTATATAATTTATTTCATAATTCTTACTGGAAATTTTTGGAAATATAACTTCTGGAATGTTTCTTTATTTTCCCAAAGACCTGAGAATGCTCCAGGAGGCAAAGGCAACCTTAAATTGAAAAGAGCAGAGGGAAGTATTAACAAATACAGATATAACAAGTACAACTCATGTTCTCTATTCATACTTGATATTCAGATAAAGAATCATTGTTTATACAATCAGAAAACAGTTCAGCTTAATAATATGCTGATAACATAAAAACACTATATATTATTGTGAACATATGCATACAGCTCTGCACTGTATCCAGACCTTACCTTTTATATTACATAAGCATCTCAGTAAAATAATGTTTGATCTAGTAAACATCACATATTGCACTATAAATATGTTAACAATATTCAGCTTTCAACATTTCTAAGGATTAAGAATCTGTCAGAAATGTGTGCATATATGCTATGATACAGGCAATTTCATTATTATAGGTATCTTTTTCTCTAACACCCATACACCACTCACATGTGCATAGACAGATGGATTATCAGATACACAAACCTTCCGTTTCTGTAAAAAGATGTAGCTCAAAGGACTTCAACCATGAGAATATGAATAAAAATGTTTTTCTTTTATATTGAAACTGTGCTCAATATTATTGGAAATACTGGAGTTCTTTGAAAGGATATTGATAAAAGTCACTAGTAGAACTTTCTAAAATAACTGGACTTATTTTTATTTTTTTTAAGAAGCAAAGCTGTAAAATTCTGGTCTGCTTTATTTGCTGAGTTTTGAATGTACACTATACACCCCTTCGTCAGTCAACATCTGTCAGAAGAAGAGAAGCTGCAGAAGCCACAGCTAACAGTAGTTGTTTCTTCCTTCAAATCTCTGATAGGATTAAACACAGATTTCTTCAACTGCCTAAGAGATATATATTCAGGCATATCAACACAAGTTTTATCAAGTTTACCCCTAATGACAGAGAGATAATGATCATGCAAGCAAACATATTTATTTAGATAAAATCATAAACACCCCATACAGTTTTTACTAGTATATGCCTGCATTCCTAACTAGCAACTATTTATCTAGAGGTATTTTTTTTCTATTGATAGTATCCCTGTGACACCTGAAGGCAACATCTCTAGCAGAAAAACACTTCTGTAGCATAGCAACACTGGTATCATTACAAGACTCCAGTGATGTTTAGAACACAAGAACAGGTGCCACAAGCTCTGTGACATGGACATTTCTAACATTATATTTACAAAAGAATACTTATCTACCTATCTATATACACACTAATCCTAAGTATGGCATAAATATAAATATGATATAAAAGGTACAAACTACATTGAAAAGGTCATGTCATCCAGTAATGATTCAAATACCTGATTTTTTACAATCATAGTTTTTTCAGCTTAATTCAGCTCAGTTAGCATAACAGAATATACTGCTATAAATACTACTTTCTCTGAGGGCTCTGGCTCAACATGTCCCATAAATCACATTCCTTGAAAGTATGGTTAAGAAAGTATGGCCAGAAATGCCAAGACACTTCCCAGGTAGTCATGCAGGGTTCAGGAGGGCAGGTTGGCTTCTGCCCATCTGGAAGGAATTCACTGCCTTATTTTAAGCTTTTCAATCTTAGTAAGCATCTCTGTGATATACAAAGATGACCTATAGAGTGTTTGCTTTGAAAAAAAAAAAAGATTAGAAAAACAAAATATTGATTGTGGTGTTTATGTATTTATGAGTTTAAAAGAAAAAAAATCTCTTGCTTAGATTCAAGAAAAATCACTAGAGAATGGCAGTTACTATGGGTGTTGCCTGGTTGCTAATAGCACAGCAATTCATAACAGCCTCAGTCATGGCAAACTTTGCACTTTAAATTCATTTAGCAGTCTGAAACATCCTTGTGATGGGAGAGAAAGGACAACTCATATTGATAAAGTCCTTAATTTCCCCATAGCTCTATTCCGTACTTTGCAGTTAGTCATTCAATAGAAAAAAACCAATTTTACTGCTGAAATCAGAAAAGCATTTTCCTTTCTGTAATTGTTCAGAAATCTAAACACTGAAGTGTGTAACATATCACCAAAAATATAATGCTTGCTCCTACCCTTTCGTTTTATTCTGTTTGTTCAGATTTTTATTTTCCTGGAGGGGTGGGGGAGTGGGTAGAGGAGGGCGGGGGGTGTCTTATGTTTGATTGTGGTTTTTTTCTTTGGTTTGTTGGGTTTTTTTTAGAAAAATTGCATTGATAAGTACATCCACAGAACATACTTCCTGAGTCGGCTGAAAACAGATTGCTAAACTAGTGGCTACCACAGGTATCTCTATAGTACATATCATAGCACAATACAGACAACATCTGAAAATGTGCTTCCATAGCTTTCTGTGAAAGATTACTTGCAATTAAGACCCCATTCATCCTCTAAGCAAAAAGTGAGTGCCATCATCTATGTGTCCATCTTCCAGGCAAAATAATTCCAGATCAACAGGCACATACAATTCTTTCATGAGAGTAAAGCTCTTAGCATCATGACTGACTAGAATTTCTAGTTTCTGTGAAAATACAAATAATTATTAAAATTAATAAAGGCAGAATTCAGTCTGCCAAAACATGATTACATGTATTGGAATTTTGTCAGGACATTAGAACTAAAATGTCCAGAGCCAAAAATACCTCCAACCCACTGCTGTCAAGAAGAAGCCTGCCATAAATTCCAAAGGGAGCAGAACTGGATCACAATTACATGCAGGGAGCCAGAAGAGATAAAACGAGGCAGTCAGAAAATGACAGCAACCAAAAGCAAACATCCCTTCCCTTTCTCAACCTCTCCATACAAAAACAGGAACATTTTGGGATGTCTGGTTTCACAGAATCACAGACTCAATTAGGTTGGAAAAGACCTCTGAGATCACTGAGTCCAACCTATGACCTAACACAACCATATAAACTCAATCATGGCACTAAGTGCCAAATCCAGTGTTTCATTAAACACTTCCAGGGACAGTGACTCCACCACATCCCTGGGCAATCCATTCCAATGCCTATTCACTCTTTCAGTGAAGAACTTCTCTCTAATGTTCAGCTTAAACCTCCCCTGGTGCAGTTAAGGACTGTGTCCTCTTTTCCTATTGCTGGCTGCCTGGGAGAAGAGGCCAACCACCACCTGGCTACAGCCTCCTTTCAGGTAGTTGTAGAGACCAATAAGGTCTCCATAATAAGGTCTCCCTTGAGCCTCGTTTTCTCCAGGCTAAACAACCCCAGCTCCCTCAGCTGCTCCTCACAGGACTTGTGCTCCAGACCCTTCACCAGCCTCGCTGTCCTTCTCCAGACCCACTCCCGCAACAGTTTGTGTCTGTTCTTCCTAGGAAATACAACACACGTCTACAAGAATTCAATATTTAAAAACTGTTGCCTCTTTGACCAAACACTGAGTTGATACTCAAGACCTTTTGGGGTTATTTTTACTAAGTGGGTATATTAACAAAAAAATTCCAGGTATGCATAAGTAAGCATGATTGCCCCAGATGGTCCTGCTTTCCTTTCACAAAGGAGAGGACCACAGAAGACCAAGACAGAAGGAAATATATTCCTTCATTATGATTTCCACAATATACAAAGAAGTTGCTTTGCAAGGTTTTCCTTTGGGACATATTCACTGTATTTCCCTAGCTATCTGTTAACTCTCTCTCACCTTGCATGCCAAGCCACAAAGCAGCCAGTGTTGAGCCTTTGCATCTGCTATCAGTTTGAAGATGAACTCTCCCTTACACTAGTCTTGCTTTGACTTTCCATATGGTCCTAACTCTGGTAGCATCTTTTGTCTTATAATTGCTTCTTCCTTCTGCAGAAGACAGTCACAAGCTTCAACAAATATAAATTCAAGACAAGCTTGCTAGTTTTTTCTAGGACATGAATGTGTTTAGCAGCTATATTGGATCAGGCTAACTAGAGTCAACTCATCCCATTTAATTAGCAAAGAAGAGGCACAGTTTCAAATCCAAGTGGAGCTTCAAGCCCAAATTCTACACTGAAATAAATAAAAACATGTGAATGAAAAAGTTTACCTTTGGATTTCAAACCTCAAAGAGGATGTATAGGTCTGAATTTTGATCTCATTTATGGCAGTTTTTCACCAGTACAATTACAGCAGTACAATTATGTCACTCTTTATTTACTCCAGTGAAATCAAGATTAAAATTGTAGAACTATAAGAATATAGATCCAGGCCCATTTCTCATTTCAAGGTTGAATACATTTAGAACAGCATTAGGAAAACCAGCTAAACTCTGTAAATTAATGATGTAAAATATAGGGGTTCGTTTACCAAAGATTTACTCTGGTTACACTTTACAAAGATAAGGAAGTAATTTCATTATAAATTGGAGAAACTAAGACATAGATAAGCTCAACAGCGTCACAAAAAATCCTCTGAAGTACTTTAACAGAAACTGTTTTCTGTTAGAGAATTTTAAATTATAATCATTACTTGTTTTTTAAGCATTGTTTCAAAATTCATTTAGTTTTCATACAACAGTGGCTAACCTTTCACAGAACAGTCCACCCTTCAGCTTAGCCCAAGACAATCTGACTCCCATGTATCACACCCTTTCAAAATGCCACTCATCGAAATGGTGTAAGATTCCTCGTTAATGGAACCAAGCAATTATAGACAGAGCACTCAAAAAATAATTTACACAGAAAATCGGATTTCTGGAAGTACAAATGAAAGTCAAAAAACTACTGGAAAGCCTACCTTGCTGATATTGAGAAAAGACATCCTTTTATTTTATGGTAGACAATGACACAGGCTGTTCATTATAGCCAGTCAAAGCAAGTATAAGTCACTGTTAAATGAGTCTGGGCTTGTGAATGCAACTAAATCATCCTAGCTGGCAGGTATAATTATTACTCAGTTTTTATGTAGTGCTGTGCATAAACATCACTTTTATAGAAATTTTTGATTGCAAGTTTGAAAGGCATCTGGAAGGTTTTTCAGACACCAGGAATAACAGCACATGAAAAAGGGCAGAGAAGAGTAGAGGATCTCAAATGTTCCAGTCTGCATGAAATACTACTTTAGTTAGCTGAAAGGGGTCACAAAAGTAGCTGGTCTCAGTATGGATTTTGCAGAAAAAAATAGAAAAATACAGTTTAGTGGGGAAGAGAGAAAGCCATCAAAAACTAGTGGAAGTGGCCGGAAAAAGCTCAAAATAAAGTAAGTTCAAATCGTATGTACTCAGTCAGAGATTTGCTAGAAAACCCATCTTTGGACAAATTGCTCTCACACTGGAAGTCCTACTTATTGTTTTACTTGTAAAGGAAAAAGACAAAGCTGATAAACATGTAGAAGACTGTCAGGGAGATACATCTTCTTTATCTTTCTTCTTTTACAATCTTCTTTATCTGAACTGACCTGCCATGGTCCGAGGGGGGATGGGGCCGTGACACAGCGCGGATGGGTTGGGGAGACAAGGTAGAGCGCAGATGGAATACTTTATTGAGGCGTGCACAGGATTTTTTATCAGTTCAGGCAGGGAGAGGGCCAGAACATGGGGTGGAGCATGAGACAGACAAATGGGAGAACGAATCGGGATAGGGGCACAGGCAAAAAAGGGAGGAATGTGGAAGGGGCGAATAGCAGCTGTCTCCTCTCTGCAGCTTCTTCAGCCTATCAGCGAAGGGAGCGGGGAAGCAGGGAGCAGGCAAACTCGTGGCAAGCCCGGGCATGTCCAGGCTGTGCACTGTGTAATGTGAATACAATGAAAACACATAATAACAGTAAAGTCCATATAATAAAGTCCTGTCAGTTGCTGTATGTCTTTTCTCCATGCCTGGAACTCTCCCATCCTGAATCTTGCTCCTTCACACTGACCTCCCATACAACACAGGCTAAAAGATGCCATTTACTAAATCCTGCCTGAACCCCACAATTTTTAAAATAGATACCTAGGCTTGACCTAGAAAATGTCAAAGTAAACCACCACACTCCCCACAATTTGTTTCAATGGTTTAATAGCTTCACTGTTAAAATGGTGTTTTATTTCTCATCTGAATACATCTAGCTTGAGCTTCTGATCTCTTTATGCTAGATTAAATAGCCATCTCTCAGAGATGTTTCTGTCCTCTGGGTATTTCTTGGCCTTGACAAAGTTACTATTTTACTGATCTTGGATGAACCACATACCGCAGGTTTTCATACCACAAGCATTCCAGCACTATAATTCATATTTTCCCTAAAATCCAGTCACTTTCTCAATAGCCTTTTGAAATATGGACATAAGAATCAAACACAATGCATAAACAGATTTATTAACATCATATCCACAGACAGTAATGTTGGCTCCTTTTCAGCTTCCCTATTGAATAACAAGGAATCATATTACCTGCTTAGTTACAGTAGTAGCTACTTTTCATTCAAAGATGTTGTGTATTCAGAGGTTCATCCACTGTAACATAAAAAAGCCCTTTGAAAGGTACTCTTTCTAGGGTTCTTCATCTTATAAATCTAGCAAATTTTCACTTGGCATAGCTGTATAGCTGTGGGGCCATAATAGAGAAGGTAAAGTCTGGTTTTAGGAGTTTGACAGTAACTCCAAACAGGATCTTCTAATATAGCAACATCACTAATAACAGGCAGTTAAAGACAGCAACGACTCAGAAACATATGCACACATCTTCCAGCATTAACTATCAGTATATATAATTAAAATTGTTTGGCAGAGTTGCTAAAGATGGAGTTTATTCCACTTCTCTTTTGGTAGACAAGACTAAGCACCTATCCTAAGCAAACTGCTGTCACTGGAGAGGCATCAGCACACCTGGAAGACAATTTATTCCATCCTAGCTAAATATCTAAGACACTTAGACACTATCACTTTTCTAAGACACTTAGACACTATCTAAGACACTATCACTTTTCTTACAAAAATACCTTTCTCTCTCTCCATTGATTACAAGCCTATGTTTTATTACAGCTTCAGGCACTACAGAGGTAAGAACTTTGAAAGATAACCTTCCACTCCGACCTGAGTTACAGATACTTCCAACTACAGTCTATAAAAGGTTGGAGGAATTTCAATTATTTTTGCTCCGTAATGGAATGCGTGCACATACTTGACAATGCAATGAATGCACAATCTTACATGTGTAACAAGGAAACTACGTCTAACTATGAGTCTGCTGATTCAGGGAAGATCATGTGTGCCCTTAAAGCCATGCCTGTGTATCCTTGTTGACTTAGCCAAAGATGCTGAGATTTAGGCAGGGTATAGATTTCATCCTGAAAATACACAGTATAATAAGTTCATGTGATACTACTTCAGCCTCCACAGTGGTCTAGTTACATTAGATTAGTAGTGCAGCTGAGCAAAAAACCTCCATATCTCAGCAACTGCACCTCCTATGCCAGCCCACCCACACTGTTAGTGCTGCACATCTGCAGCACAGTCCAGTGCATGCAGTTCTTATGTCTCTCATCCCCAGCTCATGTGCCTGTTGACTCAATCCTCAGCTAACTTCGCTAACAATTCATCACAATCGGTACATCTGTCCCAATGGTTCAGCTTTTGACACATTTTCAGTTCACTGAAGGTTAATGCTAATCTTTATATTTCCTTTCATTAATCTAAGCAAGCAGTGAAGACTCTGAACTATTACAACTCTCCAGAAATTTACCACAGAAGAAACAGATGAATGCATTGCCTTTTGTACTTGCATTTGCTGGCAGTTCAGAAGTGTTCAGAGCTGAAGTGTTTTCTGCAACTGAAAACAGAGGTGGTTACAGCTACCACACTCATCACAAAGCAGGTACCTGCCTGAGGAAAATGCCATTTGCCTAAAAGCTGTGAAACATCCAGAATACAGAGCTGTCATGGGCTGTGGGGAGCAGCAGCCTATTGAGTGTTACAGGAATAAGGAAAGGTTCTGGCAACAGTTGAAAAGGCAGAAGGCAAGATAAATGTAACTGATGTTCACAGTGCTATCTAAACAGAGACCTTTTTATCTAAGAGAAGTGCCAAGAAAGGTGTACTTTCAAAAAGAATATTAAAGCTTATGGAAGTCATCTGACATGAGTCTGGTAAATGGTACTAAAAATCACCTATATGATGTACAGTGGGTTTTTCTTATTTCCTTTTTTTTCTGTAGTCCTGTCCAATACACCACAGTGTATTTTGTCCAAGTACCACTACAAATTAACACAGTTTCATGCAAAGCACACAGAGAGACATCTTTCTTTTTTTTACAGTGAACAGAAAATACATGTTCTCCCTCTAAGAACATGCATCAATTGGGATTAGGAAATAGCGAAAGAAGAGGCAGAATCACAACTGTAAGACAAAGCATGTCAGTCTGCACTGCTGTACTATTTCACTAAAGTGGAAAATAAAAGAATGAAGGGAGTGATTCAATATCTTGCTCATACATCACAGCAGGAAGGCTTCATCCTATGTCAACAGGCTAGCAATTATGAAAATGGTAGTCTAAGAAAAAAAGCCAGCAATCCACCCTTATTCACTCACACAATTTCATCTGCAACTCCTCAATATCACAGGACAGTCTCGTATCCATATCAGAGACAAACACACTTTTCAATCCTCATTACTTCAATCATTGAGCTTTATATATATATATATATATATAAACTTCAGTCAAAAGACAATCAAGCCAGGTAAGAAGTTTCCCTTAACTCTAAGATACTTATTTTTCTTACTTTACCACAATATTTCCCAAAGTCTTGGCCTTCACTGGTTCTTTATTTTCATCCAGAATCATCACTGTAAAAAAAAAAATATAGGAAGAAAACTCAAGTTTAGTAGTGTTGTTTTAGGTGGAGGAAAGTGTCTTTCTTTAGGGATATCAACTTATGTCACACTTCAGAGTGGTAATACACCGAACAACAAAAGGAACTAAGTAATTTGGGAGCGTCAAACTGGATAATCTTATGGCCTTATTAACATTCAGCCTTAAGCACAAAAAGCACAAATACTCATGCTTTTGCAGCAGAAATAGGGAAACAAAGTCTCAAAAGGAAAAAACAGAGAACTGAAATTTAAAAGCAACCTTCATACTGGAAAATCTAAACTTGCAAATAGCAAAAGACCATTAAGATACACAACAAATATAAAGAAAAACTATGTGGGTAACATGAGCAAGAAATAACAGATTATTGAAGGTTAACGCAGTTAATGTGAGAAATACTATTGGCAGTAAATAAGTACACCTGCTTTTCAAAGGCTCTCAGGAGTCTCAGAAAGATACTCCCCAGCTAACAAAGTTTATTGTAGTCTAGCACAAAGCCATAAAGTACCTTGTGATCTACCCAAATCTGCAGAGCAGGGTAATGCTCAAGTACAGCACATAATACAGACCTTCCAAGTGAAGCCTTTTCCCTGGATGACACTGGCCCACCACCCTCAGTGAGAGCATCGTATCCTGATACTGAAATTTCTGAGGAAAAACACCTGAAATAGACTCTTCTGTGCAGTCATCTGGGAGATGAAGCTACTACAACCACCCATTCCATCTAAAGGTGTGGGCATAAGAAAGGAATGACAAATACCAACTTGGCCTCTGATAAATGAAGTTAAATAAAGTGAAACAACTAAACCATAGAAGAACAGGAGGGAAGATTCTAACAGATTGGGCTCATAAGGATTTAAAAACATGCCTTTTGAAGCCTCCCCAAGCAAAGAAAGCAATGTTCATCTGAATCTAAATTACTACAAATAATCTTACACTCTATATTAAAAGGTTACAGAGGAAATGGGGAAAAGAAGATTACAAACATCTGACTAAAACTCTGCTAAGGCTCGTATGAGTAATATCATATTCTATCTGTCCAAACAATGCCAACGTTTATTATTTCTGGCTGAAGCTATTCCTTCAAAGAAGACGGTAATTTTTAAGTAACTGAAGAGAGCCTGCTGAAAGCAATGGCTCAGCACATAGACACAAGCAAGTACACAAGGCCAGTTTTACAAATCAGTATCTTGGTGTAACTGGGACAGAAAATCAAAAGGATGAATAAGGATGACTGGACACATAGAAGACATTTAGGAAAATCATCAGGAACAGCATAAGCAAAACCCATTCATAATCTGCAAACATGTTTTGTATTTATTTATTGTTAGGTGGTCTAAGAACATGGTAGATTTGTTCATGTTAGATTTGGAGAATTTAGGCTCAGAACACACAATGAAAAGATCCACTCATATGTAGTTTTCAATGTTTTCTGTCCTATTTTTATGATATTAGAGTAAAATATAATCGGTTTTTTGTAACTGTACTAATCTCAGTCTTCAGTCTCCTCCTTGCAAGCTGCTTATTTCAATGTAGACAAATCTGGAGAACAGAGATACTATACTGTTCACTCCTGAATTACTGAAGAACTGACTTATTTCTTCAAAATGTGGGACTTGTTTCAGTCTGAAAATGCACTGAAATTGTCTGGAGAGGATTCAAGTAGATGGAAGGAAAATCACAACAAAATCTCTGCTTTAAGGCAACAGACCTAGATATTAACGTGGTATCCTGAATCACTTATAAACGTAATTTGTGCCACTGCACTTTGATATCATAACTCTTATTCTCTGTGTTCTTAAAAATCAACAAAGAATCAGTTTACTTTTAGCAATATGTAGTAGGAAAGAATTTGTCTGTGTTAAAAAAAAAGTAGATCTTGTAACTTTGTATTTATATTGCAGCATAAATACAACATGACATATCAACCATTAAGAGCTGCATGTATAACCTAAAAATACAGAATCTATCACCTAAATGGTTTAAATATCCTCTCTAATTAATACAGTAACAGCAGGAAAACGCAGTAGCCAGTATAGAGTAATTTCAAAAATCAGTATTTTACGAATGGCTGCATTACAGGACATATTTGGTCAAAGACTGAAAGAGGTAAAGTTATACCATAAATCTTTAGTCACTTTTAGTGCTCATTTTTTGTTTCTCTTATAAGGTATGCTGAAGACGTTGCCTTCATTCTACTTCAAGAAATTCTTTAATTACACTAGTCCCAATGCTCCAAAGTATGCATTGGAAATTTTTATATTCCTGCTACTCATATTTCTTTCTCATCCTGACTATCATCTGATAGCATGCATGATGCAACTACGTTCTTTCACTCTTTCCTATTTGTTACAACTCTGGACTAACTTACTGGCATTGTTTTAAAACTGTTTTTAAGCTACTGCTTGTCCTCATGCCATAACTGTAAATGCCAAAACCAAGAGCTGCTGAAAATGTTCTATTTTCTTTAATGCTCACTACCAATTACATGTATTAGAAGAAAAAAACAGCTTAGCTCCTGTTTTCTGCTTTCTGCCCAATTATGTGAGAACTTTTCCTGAAGATCATCTGATCTTTAATGTAATTATTTTTCAGACTTCAGGTAATTCTTGAAACAGTGTTAAAATCAGAGTTCCCAGGTATTAAAATATTTTTGCACCCTCTGCATGCAAATACCTTCCAGACAATGAGTGCACATCCTTTTCATGTTGGTACAAAGCCTACCATTTCTCCCAGCTGGAAATAAAAATGCTCCACAAATACTGAAAGATAACGTGCTTAACAGCTCTCTCAAATTGTGTTAAAGTGCATAAGCATTGTGGAGAAGTGTAAACGAGTATTGTGTCACAGTATGTGCTACCCCTTTCATATCATAAAGGCAGGAGTAGCTGATCAGTTTTCTTGAACATAACTCTGAATTTCTTATTCACAATCACATTCCATGACACAAAAAAGTAGAATTTCCTGTTTCAGGAAGGAGGAAAATGTGTTAGAAAGACTGTAATTTGCTGTCGCTACAATTAAGGAGCACTTACTGAGGAATACAAGCAATGTCCTTTTCTAGTAACATTTTTAGCATAGTATTACCATTATATCCTGGCACAGGTTTTCCTGCCTGTCCGGGTGGAGGTGTTGTAGAGTTTCCCAAACCAATACAGGAAGCAGTAATTGCAGAACCAGATTCTGTTAAGAGAACACAAATATCATCAGTTAAGGTTGTTCTTAGTTTCATTAGGAATTTATTGGTTCTAAGTTTTTTGATGCTTAGTACATCAAAATAAAAAAATAAAATAAAATTCCTAGACAAGCAATGAAGATTTAGAATTCAGAGAATCACAGAATATCCTGAGATGGAAGGGACCCAAAGGGATCATAAAAGTCCAACTCCTTGCCCTGCACAGGAGAGCCCCAAGAATCACACCATGTGCCCAAGGGCATTGTCCTAACACCTGTTGAACTCTGTCAGGCTTGGTGCTGTGACCACTTACACAGGGAGCGCCCAGTCATCCTCTGGGTGAAGAACCTTCTTCTAATAGCAAACCTAATTCATCCTTGATACAGCTTCATGACAATCCCTTGGGTCCTATCACTGGTCACGATAGAGAAGAGATCAGTACCTGCCCCTTCTCTTCCTCTCATGAGGAAGTTGGAGACTGCAATGAGGTCTCCCTTCAGTCTCCTCTTCTGCAGGCTGAACAGACCAAGTGACCTCAGCTGCTCCTCATACGGCTTCCCCTTCCAGACACTTCACCATCTTTGTAGCCCTCTTCTGGATATAATTAGCTTAATATCTTTCTTATATTCTGGTGCCCAAAACTGCACACAATATTCAAGGTGAGGCCACACCAGTGCAGAGCAGCGCAGGACAATCCCCTCCCTTGACCAGCTGGCAATGCTTTGCCTGATGCCCCCTAGGACAGGGTTGGCCCTCCTGGTTGCCAGGGCACTGCTGACTCATCTTCAACTTGCCATCGACCAGGACCCCCAGGTCCCTTTCCACAGGGCTGTTCTCCAGCCTCTCGTTCCCCAGTCTGTTTGTACATCCGGGGTTGCCCTGTCTCAGGTGCAGAATCGAGCCCTTGTCTTTGTTACACTTCCTTGCCTCATATCTACTTAATCTGACAAGCTCTCTCTATTTATTCCAAGTAGCCTGACCCTGCTTCCATCTCTTACATATTTCCTGCTTACACTTGAGAAATGACTTTATTCATCCACACAGGTCACTTGCCCTCTTTGCCTGATTTCTTTCTCATTGGGATGCATCATTCTTGAGCCTGGAAGAAGTGATTCTTGAGTATCAATCAGCTCTCTTGGATCCCTCTTCCCTGCAGGACCTCTTCCCATGGGATTCTTCCAAGAAGATCCCTGAAAAGGCTAAAGTTAGCTCTCCTGAAGTCCATGTTACAATCTTACTTGCTGTCCTGCTTCCTCCTTGCCCACTACTGAATTCCACAATCTCACAGTCACTCCAGATCCAAGGCTGCCCTCAACCTCCACATCTCCAACACGGCCTTCCCTGTTTGTTAGTATAAGGTCAAGGAGTACGCCATTCCTTGTGAGATCCTCCACTACTTGGGCTGGAAATTGTCATCAATGCTTTCCAGTAATGCCTACGTCTTCCTAATTATCCCCACAGTTAGGCAGTTAGAAATTTCTCCCTCATCACCTTCCTCTCTTTCTTAAGATACTTCATTTCACATAACATTTTTATACTACCAGAGTTGTTATCGCAGAAGAAGAATAAAAACTATCAAGTCATATAATAGAGTCTAAGAAAAGACCGGCAGCTCTTCACTCTTTCCCTTTAAGGAAATATCTACAGAGATTACTTTTTGCCAAGGGTCACACAAAAATTCTGGTATCCACCTTTTCTTTTCTTTTTTTTCCCCAAATATGCCTTTTTGGCTTTTTGGTGTTTTGCCTTTATTTTAAAGAGACCGAACTGCTAGTGATTAATGACTCAAACATTTGACTACCTGCAGTGACCACCCATGTGCTGTAAGAGACTAGACTACTGGTGCAAGGCACTACAGCAAATTATAGCAAAGAAGTGAGAGAAGCCACAGGGAGACAGCAGTGACTAAAGAATTTGAAGAACTGTAAATTCTTAAGGATTCTCTGATTCAGTTTTATCAACTGTCAGAAAGAAGTGTAAAATTAAATCCAGTTCACATATTATATGCAATTAGGTTAGATTAAAGACAGTTCACCATCCTAAACTATAAAAGGTTTTGCTGGCTAATAGTGAAACTTCAAGAACTCTTTCATGCATTGTTTGGTATTTCATTTCACTCCTTACTCCCGAGGAGTATTACAGATGCAGCAGAAAAAATCTTAGTGCTCATAATTATAATTATCATTTATTTTTCCTCCATCTAACTGCATTCTTAACTTATTCTTCTTGTGAATTAAGCTATCAGGTGCATAAAGGTGCATAAAGAGTGACAAAATATGGTGAGTAGCAGGGTTCTATCTTAAAAAGCCCTCAAGAAGAACCAACTTTTAGGTGAGTTACACAAGTTGAATGATTCGCAATCAAGATTTTCCTAGTTACCTTACAAGGAGTTTCTCAACTGCTTAAAAGCTTAAGTGAAGCTAGGGTAAAGCTAGAATATGCAATAAATCAACTAGAAAGAATTTCAGTTAAGACTTTCTTGCTCAAATGTTATTTAGAGCAACTATCTCTTCTAAAGCATAACCTTGTCCATCAGGTTGCTTACGATTCAGTTTATATTCACATGGCAGCAGATCAGAACAACTTGTTACCTTGAGGTGGGAAGGCTGCAAAATATGTTTGTTCATCCCACTAGCACTCTATAAAACAGAGTGTAAAACCTCACAAGTTAACTGAAAGAGTCATGGAAAATCAACAGTGTTTTTTCATCTATTCTTCACATCCAAGTAAAATTAAATTTGACCTTTCTCACTTGGTTAAATTGTACACAGAGACTTAAAAAAGCTCTTCTTAACTGCTTAACTTTATCTACTCAGAAATGGTCATGTAGAAACTTGACTCAGAAAACATGGAAAATGAAGCAACCCATTTTTTAAAAGGTGACTAAGGAAACTAGAGAGATCTATTAATTAAACAGACATTCAGAACAGATATATTTGTACAATAGGACCGGTACATTGCACAAAAATTTGTCCTTTTTTTTTGTTATGACTAGTTGCTGTTGAGTATTTCTACTTGAAGTTCCCCTTATTCTCTACATTCTTTATTGTATAAGAGCACCAAGTGTGCTCAATCAACAGGGCCATACACCACAGACACCACCGAAAAAGGTTACTGTGTGGAAAACAGCTAAAATGGACAATGATGTGACAGCCATATTAATTTTCAGTATCCATTATATGAAGAAGGATGATTTTGTATTTAAAATGCACAACTGAACACTGCATGGTTGACTTGAGCTAATTTAATTGTGTATCAGTGAAGATAACTCTAAAAAAAGGTGGTCTCATTATCCTTCTATACTTGCACATTCCCATCTTCCTTTTCCCCATATTTTTACAAAGAATTAGATTGAACTCATTCTTTTTTTTTTTTAAAGTATTATTAGTCTTTCTTTCAGCCAGGTTAATTTTTGCCTAAATCAATGCTCTGATTCTGCTTGTCATGCAGCTACATGCATGGTAGGACCGGCCTAAGAGCAGGGGTACAAAGGCAGTGTCAGAGATGAAGGAGGAATGCTCCACTCCCTCTTTCATTGGTGATTTGCCCTTACAGAAGCTTAGACCATTCACAAATCACACATCCAGATAGCCACCGTCAAGCTATTTATCTCAGCATGTTTCATTTAAAACAGGAATAGTATCACAAATATTTCCTTCCCCCAATCAGTTTGTCCATTTAGTCTAATTCATGGTTTAGGGTATCACTTTACATTTTAAATGTCAAATATAACACAGGTACACACTTAAGTGCTTTCATAAGACAGGCCATGTATCTGAGACAGAGCTTTAGCAACAAATAGCTTTCTGAAAGCTGACCTATGTAGTTACTGTATTTTAATTTTGTATTAGATCCTAACCTGCAGTGGTATCAAAGAATGCCTCCCACCTCAGCTGGGACACTAGTTCCAGTGTTTAAAAGGAAATACTGCAGTATATTCAGTGTTGCACTAATTAAAGCATATTCTTATTTAAATAATTGGGCAAGCCTTCCCATATTATAGCACTGAGAATGACAGCTTCAAGCCTGCTTGCACAATCTAGAAATTGTGATGTTAGTATTAACCTGACTGTGGAGCCATAGGTACATCAACAGCTGTGTACAGCTATCTGGAAACAGAGTATTTCCTTCATTTCTTGCAAATGTACAGATGCATGAGATAAAAGAAGATGACAAAATAAGCTAAAGGTATTTGAAAATCTGAAGACCATTTCTCAAAAAAAAAAATCCAATTTGTTTAAAAAGTAATATATTTTCTGAAAGTACCTGAATTTCTATGCTTATTCTTAGAATTGAAGAGAAGAATAAGCATGAAGAGAAACCAGCAATTCTTTTCGTATTTTCTAAATGCTTCAAAGCACTTGTAGTCATAATGCCTCTATTACCATGAAAACATATTACACTTGTGAAGGCCAAATACTTCTTGTATAACAGTTCTATTTCTGTATTTAATTCACTTATTTGAAAACAAAATCAACTCTTAAACCCATAAAAATTGACCCAAGGTTCCCTTTCACAATTTTATCCAGCCACAGAATGTACTCACAAACTGTATAGTTTTTTGCTATCATACATATACACAAGGCCTCCGAGGATTTCAAAGCACATCCAAGTTTTTTTGTATGGTCAGTCTTCGCGAGTGAAGATTTTGGGAAAGGTCATTAACCCTTCGAGCCTGCGCAGTGGATTTTTTAGGTGAGACACAGCGTGCGCTGAACTGAGCCCACCCTTTAATCCTGAGGTTCATCTGCCGGGGCCGAGCAAACTTGGACAGTGGCAGTGAGGGTCTCAGGACGTAGGTTTGTTTAGAGTGACCTTCTCTTAGATGGATTGCCTTACAGGGCTGACGAGAGTGTAGCACCCTAACCACTAGACCACCAGGGGCCCCCAAGTAATATCTCCACAATTAACATACAAATCTAACTAGCTTAGCTAGAGGTTGGTGGGCCGTGACAAATATTGAAACCAAAGCAGGAAATAATTTGGTTATCAGAAACTGGCAAGCTAG